AAAGTGGGTGGCTAGCTACTTTATACTTTAATAGGTATACTCCTAAATCAGCAAGGCTATACTTCTCAATCTAGATCCTGGATTCTTATCCATTCTTGCAGTCACTCATGTTCTGATAAATCTTTTTTCCCAGTGCTGTTATTGCTAGACATCAAAGCAATGCTGCAGTAGCTAAGAAACCTCGTGGGAAGCTTGATTCAGCCTCAGGTAAGGAAGATATACAGTACCAAACCAATGCTGTCAATGAATCCAGCATTAGAGATGTTAATATTTGTTTATTAACAAGCTATATTTTTGTTTGATTTTTTTTTCCTTGAAGAAAAATTGCTTGATGAGAAACAAATATTTACTTCTCTTATAGTAGAAATAGTTTGTCTTGGATTGATGATTTACTTAATGAAATCCCTGACCGCATGCGTGTTTCAATTTTTTTTCTTAGAATTTGTTATAACRAAGATTGATGATTTAGTCAACTGGGGAAGAAGAGTAAGTATACAATGCAGAGACTATTTCCAACAGAGTATTTTTCTCATTTATCCAAGCTAACACAGGGTTATTACTCACAATAATTTTTACTTCCCTCATCTCTTTGTTTCTCACCTCCTCTCACACTTTGCGGTCATGCTCTCTGCATCACTTCCAAATGAATTCTGTGAGTGTTTAATTTCCACTCCAACAAGTGATGATAGATTGGAGAAAGATTTAATAGATCTTTGGACAATCTTTGGAGCTGCTACATCAGACTCTTTGAAGAGAATTATTAAAAGATCTAGTTCATAATCTGAAAGAATACCTTATCTTTCTTCTGCAGGCATCTTTGTGGCCTATGACGTTTGGTCTTGCTTGTTGTGCTGTAGAAATGATGCATTTTGCAGCACCAAGGTACATTATAAGATAACTTTATGATTGCTTTGGAGTGCATTCACAGCACTGATGTCAACTTTCTATTCTGTCAATCTGTATCCAAAATTTAAATTTTTATTAAAGAAATAAAGTGCTTGCTTTGCTTTGTGCAATTCTAAAGTGGTAAGGATTGGCTGAACATTCATCTTGTAAGCGCTCTACTACATGTCGTGCTTCTCCTAACAMGTCTTGTCTAATGTTTAGCTTATCCCCTTGTGTTTTATAATKGCACACAGCATGCAAGCATGTTTTCTATTTCTTCCTTTTAAGTACCATGTGTATATTTTATTCTTTATTAGATACGACATGGACAGGTTTGGTGTGGTCTTCAGAGCAAGTCCTGTAAGTGTTACCGTCAAATAATAAGCAATTTTATGGGCTTGCAAAATGCAACTAAATATGAGAGTGCCGCAGAWTTTGCAAATTGGGTCAATTTAATTTTTCAAATTGGGCTCTCAACTATATGTACGGTAGGATTTGCTTTCCAATTCAATTTGGGCCAATGAATATGGACCTATGGGTCGGCAAATTGCAGTGTGTGTTTCTCACTTTATATAATTGTTTATTTATTTGTGGTATATATTCATGTTCAAAGGATGTTTGTAAGTCAAATAAACTGTCATTGATAAGGTAGCTTGACTATCATGATGATCTGTATAAGGTATTAATGCTATCATTATGTTATTACAGAGACAAGCTGATGTCATGATAGTAGCTGGCACTCTGACCAATAAGATGGCTCCAGCTCTCAGAAAGGTATGAATAAGTTATTTTAGCTTTATTTGATTTGACAAATCATGGTTTMTCACKGTATTGGRGATGATGATGATAATAATAATAGGAAATGTTTAACAATAAGCAATTAAATGCTTTGTAATGATGAGAATTGGAGTCTTGTTGTACAAGGTGATGATGATGATGATGATGGTAGTGATGATGGTAGTGATGATGATGATGATGGTGATGACAGTAGTGACGATGATGCTAATGCTAATGGTGATAATGATGATGGTGGTTGTGATGATGGTGACGATGATAGTAGTAGTATTGATGGTGTTGATAATGATGATGATGATGATGGTAATGACAATGATGATTGATTGACTGACCAATGCATAATCATACCATATATAGGTTTATGATCAGATGCCAGAACCAAGATGGGTTATATCAATGGGAAGGTAAGCCAAAATCTCCTTGTGTATTTCACTGTCTCCACTGCTTCTTTAATGCTCTACAGTTACCAAATTGCTTATATTGCAATGCATAAATACAAGCCACTTCTATTTTTACTTTAGAAACCTTTTCAGGGCTCGAAATAGCGGCCTGCCAATAGCCAAATGACAGGCCAAATATCAGGTTTGGCAGGCAAAAATAACGATGTGTTGCCAAATGAATAATAAAATGGCATGCAAAATTAACTGGAATGACCTCCTTTTAACATGCTCCTTTACTATGGCAGGCTAATAAAAACTCCTATTTCGAGCCCTGTCATGAATTCATATATTCACAGCAAGTACGTATATGTGATATCACAAATACTCTAGAAGTTTAGGGGACATATTTGCAAGATGGCATCTATTATTAGTTTTTTACTAAACCTTGAATGGCTAATGTTTCTWACTTTTCCCTCTGTTTTCCATAGCTGTGCAAATGGAGGAGGATACTACCACTACTCATACTCGGTAGTCCGAGGATGTGACCGTGTGGTACCAGTAGACATCTATGTACCTGGGTGTCCACCTACTGCAGAGGCCCTTCTATATGGTGTGTTACAGCTACAGAAGAAGATTCGTCG